GATAGCTGATAGCTTAAAAATTCAGGAATACTTTGCCTCAAAAATTTAGAAAAAGAAGTCTTCAGAGAAAATAAATTGTTGCCTTTTACTGGGAAATTTATCTGCACAGTAAGAAAAAAGTTTAAGTAATATTGAATGAATTTTTAGCCATTAAGAGAGTTGTTTTTTATGTGTTATTACAAGAAGTAAATTCAGTGAAGTGGATCTTACATTTGAAGAGGATCTTGTGGATCTTGGAGTTGAGGTCCAAGACGTATTCAAAGCCTGAACAAACGCGAGCTTGTCATCCCACTGGAGAGTGTTCCGCGCGGAAATTCCTAGACAAGATTTTTTAATTGGGCTACTTAGTCAGCTAGACCCTCCAGATAACAATGGGTTGGAGTCGTTGGAGGGGATACGGAAGAGCGCCATCCGACTCAAAGCGCGCGCAAACAACGTGCAAGCCCCGAAAACTCATTAAACATCTTCACGCTGGCTCTTTTTGCCATCAATATTGTAATTGCAAATAGGCATTGTGATTTTTGTTTTGTATGTAATAGTGTCTTTTGTACTTAGATGGTGTGGGCTGCAGTGCTGTCGGTGGCGCTGGTCGCAGCCGCCCCCCAGAGGGCGCTGCCTCCGCGGGGACCTCCGGGACCTCAGCCCCAAGGACAGCAGATTCCTATTATCTCCCAGGAGTCCGTCATCAACCCAGACGGATCGTACAAGTGGAGGTTAGTCAATATCTTACATGATTATCGCTTCGGTTCCACATCTGTATTTTCGGGAGTCATCTTGCCAATCTTACGCAACGATGACAGAGGAGGATACGATCGTCTATTATTCCGGCCAAACTGCAGAGACAGCAGCTTTGGTGCCGAGCGACTCAGAAGGGAGCGGCACTTTGGCATGGCAGGCGAGCGGAGGGGGTGACAATGGAGAGCCACACCTGTGCGTTACAGCTGATTGTTTACTGCGTGTATTGCGCATTCGATCAAAATTTGATATTGCGTCAGGAGACTGCAACCGGTAAAACAAAAGTAAAACTTGGCACCTGCCTAGCCAAAACACGATCCAGACTTGTATATTTTAGCTGCACAAAGTTCAACAATATCACATTTTCCCACAAAGTATTTCGATTTAAACATTTTTGTGCAGTCACGTGTGCGAAATCATGGAACATTAAAGAATTCTCCAAGCACATAAACGGTGAGAGATAGAGTAAACCGGACGAAATTTAAGTTCCGCTTTCATTCCGCAGTTATGAGACCGGAAACCAGATCAAGGCCAACGAGGAGGGTGCTCTCAAGAACGTCGGCAACCCCGACACGGAGGCCATGTCCGCTCAGGGAGGTTTCTCCTACGTTGCTGACGACGGCAGCCCCATCGAACTCACCTACATCGCCGACGAGAACGGTTTCCAGCCCAAGGGCGCTCACCTGCCAACCCCGCCGCCCATCCCCGAGGCCATCCTGAAGTCCCTGGAGTACAACGCAGCTCACCCCGAGGAGGACGACAGTCAGGGCGGCGGCCAGCCCCCGCGCAAGGGCTAAAACTGAGAATCAAGAAACCGCCGTCGTCAAATCATGGCGACAGTGACATTTCCTCTGGGCTGTGACGCGTGACCAATCCGTACCGATCTGTATCTCCACATATTTCATAACATATGTACTAGTCGCGCGCCGCCGTGTCCCCTGACCTCTCAAAGTCACTGCTAGTCATGGGGGACGTCTGTTGATTGCACGCTGGTACACAGGAGACCGCTGTTTCTGAAAAGCTTCAAAGTGCCATAACCATATCTGCAACGAGGACATCTTTGGTACGTCCGGCCCCGGCACTTCTCAGCACGCTCTCGACGAGTGAAGACAAACACTTTTGATTGAAATGCTAAATTATACTTAATTACTACAGTGATCGACTCGCAGCAAGTTACTTCAATACGGTTTGCCTGCATGCTGCTGTTTAATTTATTCCTAACAATTAAAATATTTCAAAAATGAAATTCTTCGCTGACCACTGAATTACGAATGCCCTCCACTACCGACTGCATACCGATCTCTCTGCGCACAACAAAGAAATTCACTTCGAGTAAGATTCATTGTTGGGATGTCCTTCTGCTCCGCGACAGCACATAAGACGGCGCGCGAGAACAAACGGACGACATTGTTGCTGCGTGACTTGAGCGCATCGCTTTTACGAGTAGGAATAGAGAAGGTAAGGGCTAGAGCCTTGGGTCACAAGTGTACACTGTAAACTGGTTGGCGTCTTTTAACGCCAAAATATTTGGCGTCCTATACAAAGAAAGCTAACTATTGGCGTTCTTTTTCTGAGAATGCCAAAACGTGGCGTCATTCGGACATTTGGCGTCTTTGAACGCCAATATTTGGCGTTCGTCAAAGGACGCCAATATTTTGGCATTAAAAGACGCCAACCAGTTTACAGTGATATCGTCAAGTGCGCTCCTACTACTGTCTTGCATTACGCCACAATCAGAATTATAAAAAAATAAAATTTAGAAAAGCTAATTCTCTATTCAGAGTCTGTCTGGTACAAACAGTAAAGTTGTTGTTGGTGACTTCACGATATTTATGGTGGAAAATTTTCCGTAAGCCTTTTGATTAGGTTTCAGTGTCTGGCTATGCCGCCTTCGGCCTGGGCGAGTCGGCACGCGCGGGTGCGGTACAGTCTCACTGCGGACGCGGGGCGCATGGGTCACCCGATGTCCCCGATGTACCCGCCTGATGGAGCAAAGAAAAATGTGTGCGAATCAGACCCACGCATAGCACCAAACCCTCCGCAAAAAGAGCTCATGCTTTGCAGGTCCTGCAGCCCCATTTAGCACCGATGCAATCGGACTCGTTAAGAGCCAATCATGCGTCAAATACAAGACAAGCAGCGCCTGACATTAGTTGGGCTCCATTAGCCTCTTCAGTAAACGAGCCGCACGTACCAACAGTTACTATGGAAAGACAGGCGCAGGAGAGAAAGGGGGGGGGGGGGTAACGAGCGGAGACTGTGATACCAACACATCGACACACCATAAACATCCACACTCTAAATGTAGGGACAATTTTGTTCCTATAGAAAGGGCACTATTTCGTGCAAATCCGGATCGGGTGCAATTTTGTTCCTAAAAGTGTGCAAATTGTGTAATCTGCACGAATTTGTGCACGTAATCCTTCCCTTTCTAATAACAAAAATAGCACATTAAGAGTGCACAAATAAATATAAAAAGTTTAGGATAAGGAAGTTGCAAGATGCAAAAACCCCCAAAATATTTGACAGTCTCTTTTTTCCTCGCCGATTATCGAATAGTGTGTGACACCGCAGGTAGCACAAAGAAGCGAATAATTGAAATTACTTTAAAAAGGTAAATTGAACGCCACAGCAGGGCGCCCGCCCACCCGGTGGCGTGCAGCACTAACAAGAGGTTGAGTAACTGCTGACAAGAGGTGAACGCGCTCCGGGGCCGTGGCAGGGCGTGGTCGGCGCTGGGCAGCGCAGCGGCGGCGCAGCGGCGCAGCCACCGCCGTGTGCTGACATCCACACGTCAAGCTGATTAAACTCTTCACCGGCCGGTGGCCAGCCCGGCCCAGGAGGCCCGACAGGCACGCACGCGGCGTGCGATTGAATCAACGATATACCGACAAACAATTATTCCGAATACGTCGTTCTTCTTTTGTTATCATATGCACGAGCCGCGCGGCGGCAACGCCCAGGAGGAAAACATTGATAAAAAAAAAGAACACATAAAAAACTTTGGCACGAAATACCATTTAGTTCTACATTGGAACCCGGCAAGATATTTAGCCTCCCCTGCAAACTTAGCTATGCCCACACCGACGTGTGCCTGCAGAAGTGGCGTATCTCTGGAGAGGCGCGCATCACTGGCGGATCTGCGCCGGCCCGGCCAACACTGACGGATCTGGGAAGGGACGGTCATCACAGGCGTATCTGCGTTCGTCTGATATGCACAGTCAACTTTGGAGGCCTATTGCTTATCGTAGGTATGTCGTATAGTATTGAGTGATATCAAAACTCAATCACGAGGATATAAACATTGCAATGAGACATCAGTCAATACTGTACGACATGCCTACGAGGAGCAATAGGCCTCCGAAGTTGGCTGAGCAGATCAGCCGAACGCAGATACGCCTCTGATGACCGTCCCTTCCCAGATCCGCCAGTGTTGGCCGGGCCGGCGCAGATCCGCCAGTGTTGCGCGTCTCTTCACAGATACGCCACTGCTGCAGGCACACGTCGACACTATCTCCTGCATACTAGAAGGAACTCAGTAAATAGCGGATAGATGGGAAGTGTTCAGTAAATAGTGCAGAAAAGTACACACTTCCGTTAAAAAGGGAAAAGAAATATCGCGGGAGAAAGGGGGGGGGGTGAAGGGGTGTGTGGGGAAAACATCGAAGATCTAGTAAACCGACTCGACGCGTCCGTGCAACAATATCCTATCTGTTTCGCTGCCCCGAAAGACTAGCCTATCTGTTTTTTGGCGCTTTCTGCAGCGCTGTCTTCCTTTCGTTGTAGTTTTGCTAATATTAACAGGAGAAACAAAGTAAAATTTGCTATTTGTTCCTTGATCTTTCAGGAACACGCAGCAACTTTTTTTCTACCGTTAATATTGGCAAACCCACAATAAGAAGACAGCGCTGCAGAGAGCGCCGAAAAACAGATAGGCTAGTTTTTCGGGGCAGCGAAACAGATAGGCTAGTCTTTCGGGGAAGCGAAACAGATATAGGATATTGTTGCACGGACGCGTCGGACTGACATTGAAAGAATTCCATAGCAGTAAGTAACTAGAAAGTTTGCAATTAAATCATAAATTCCTTTTTAATTTCTTTTTAGGAGGTCAAATATATTTCCAAAGCATCTCAGTCCGCACCCAGAGAACCATTTAGTTGATACAACTGAATCAGGGTTGTAAGAACCAAAATTTAGTTCCTAAAACCGACTAAAATTTAGTAACCCTATTTTTAACTAAATATAGTCGCACCAATCAAATTAAGTCATCTAGACCAAATTATTTCATCGCCACGAATAAAATTTTAGTCCCAAGAGCTAAAATTTCGTCGGTTTTGAATTTGGTTATATGGACTAAACGGACTTCTGGGTGCGTCGTCGATACTGCCGAAAGTATTAATAAAAATACAAAAAAACAAACAAGAAAAACATTTTCCCATAGCATCCGGTGTCAGTTAGGTTAAAAAGCTAACTTCATGATACCGATACTCGTTAAATGAAGTTGATCCTCTAAAATACAGGTACTGTCACAAGCAGAGCGAACGAGGAAGTGAAGAAAGATGCGAAGCACGGCCTCGCCAAATTATGCAACTTAAAATTTATGAGAATCTCAAACCAACTGGAGCATCGTGATTTACTGTCCGCCAGGCAGAGGGTTTGCCAGGAAGATCTCCGGCGGCAGTCAATAAGGAAAGTCGCAAATTGATCTTTGTGTTCCAATCTACAGACAAGAAAAACATGCCACGCAAATAGTTTAGAGCTGCGCTTTGGTAGTTTTGGTGGTAGAGCAGAATAAGACGGCACAAAACTCCCAGCAAGCAAGTAACAAAATATTAGTTGCAAAAGTCGTTCCCTTGCCATTGTAAACCGCTAGCGTGTTTATGATCTTTGTGTCAATAATCAGAAATCGGTGGTGACAGTCTTGTTTCCAGCTGGGCGACCGGCCGCTCTTCTGAGCAGGTGGGGCGGCCGGTGGCCGCGCAGCGCCGCGCCACGCCCTGCCGTGCCGCGCTGCCCTTGGCCGTGGAGGATGCACACGCGGGATGCACCAAGGGGGGAAGAGGAAGTGCAAGGGCTTTGGTGGGAGGCAGCCCAGCAGGTCTAGGCCCAGCCAGACCAGCCCACCAAGGGCTGCCATATATAAGGGCCCTGCACCTCGAGGAAGGGCACATCCAGTTCGCCATCGTCCAGCGAAGAAGGTCCTCTCTCTCCTCCCAAAAATGAACGCCCTGGTGAGTTTGATCGCATCGGCAAAAAGTAAAGTGGGAATATATGGGAATAATTTCCGATAATGACAATTATCACAAGATCGAAAATGTGCTTCACCCTTTAGGTGGGATTTGTGGGGGTTCTGATGTTTACAAGGGCTTCGATTGAATATTAAATTTAATGGTTGTCTTTTTTGGTAAGCCAAATTTGACACTTCAAGAGAGGGCAGCAGTTTTTTCAAAGAGTTCGTTTATTATTTTGTTACCTTTTTTTAAAGTGAAATTTCGCTGTAACAAGGCTAAGCAACATTTCCCTTGCCTTCTCACAAATTAGTTAAATTTGATTTGGACGCGCCACCGTGCTTGGCAGTTCGATTGTGAATCACGCCGGTCATGTTGTCACCCCGTCAAGGACCGCTCAATTGCCTGTGACGCTGAATCACGGTGCTGTTTGAAGTTAGCGAGCCCCCAGCGGCCGCCCGCTACGGCTGATTCGTCCAATCCGGTCAAAAGTTTCGAAACGCGAAATTATTTGGATCGACGCCGAAAATAGTTGCAGCGGTCGGTCGTTTGTTTGCGCCGGGCTCAGTTTGTGGACGGCACATAAGTCAGGGTGGCGCACACCGTGGCGCAAGCACGTGTCATCCTCGTGGTTTATGACCCGGGAGGAGCCTCCTCAGTCGCAGCCCAAAGCTGTGCGCTGCCAATCCCAATGTGAATGTCGTTAATTAACTCTTCAGAGAATGAAAGTGATCTCGACACCCTCGCTCCCCCTGGTCGCTCCCGGTGTGGTGTAGCGTTACATTACACCAGCAAGTCGTAAACTTTTATATTCACCGCAAAAGGGGGAGAAAGAGGGGCGGCATAGCAGGCAAGTAGAGAAAGAGAGAGAGAGACACACAGAGAGAGAGAGAGAGAGAGAGAGAGAGAGAGAGAGAGAGATGCACCGGCTGGATGGGGTGGCCGGGTCATTATGGCTTTCCTTCTGAAGCATGGCGATAGGTCATACGTGTGGTTTTAGGGGACGACGGGATAGGGGACAGTGAGTGTTTGCAAATAATCGTTCGAGTCAAAGGAAAATTCAGACAAACTTGACTCATCCGCCGCGACCCACGAACGTGGTTACTATGAGCTCCTCGGGCGCATGCCAGGCTGAGCAGGCGGGCGACCCTCAGGGCGCCGTGGGTGGGAGATGTAAGAGAAAGGGGAGGGGCGGGGGCGGGGCGGAGCAAGGGCCGAGGAACCTGTTTTTGACGCACGGTAGAGTTTTGTCACACCACCGGTTTCATGCAGATGGGCTGCAGCATAGTGCCTAAAGGGGGCGATGAACTTGCGGCTCGCGCAGGGAACAGGCCGACTCCAGCAGGGCGCCGCGGTGTTGCGGGGCGTGGCGGGGAGCCCGGCGGCCGCTGGCCGTGAAGAGAAATGCATTCAGACGACAGAGGCCACGACGGGCCACGCCACGCCGCGCGCGTCACGCCCTTTGTCGATAGCCCGCCTAACGGGGCCCCTCGCGGGTCCCACTGTCCTGCGCCGCCCGGCCGCGGCCCCCTCAAGGGTCCTGGGGTTCCCTACGGGTCCCCGCGGGTCCCCGCGGGTCCTTACGGGTCCTTGGAGCTCTCTGCAGGTCCCTAGGGACCGCGCGCTCCGAGGCTCCATTTGCATTAATCCCAGAGAGGTCGTATCTAGCCGGTTGGCTTCTATCAAGAATGCGACTCGAAACAACACCACTTAATCTGTCGTCGACAACAACTCCAAAAACAACATAAAAACAGTAAAAATACTTTGTTGTTGCAGGTTTTGTGCACCCTGGCGCTGGCCACCCTGGCCGCGGCCCGACCCCAGCAGTTCACCAACCAGTTCAACCCGCAGCAGCAGCAGAAGTTTGCCTACCAGCAACAGTACGACAACAACCAGGTGGTGCAGCAGGCCGTGCAGCAGGTGGTGCAGCAGCCCTACCAGCAGCAGTACGCCCAGCCCGCCGCCCAGCCCGCCTACCAGCAGCAGCAGTACAACTACAACCAGTACGCCTACAGGCAAGAGGACGCCGCCGCCGCGAGCAGCACCACCCCCATCCCCATCCTGAGCTACGTCAACGAGATCAACCCCGACGGCTCCTACCACTACAGGTAACCATTTTACATACTATATTTTTCCGGTTGGATTTAAATGTAGTCTGCAAGAAAACTGCACCACATTTGTACTCTGCAAATGTAACTGAAGTTGACGGTTTTAACAGCAAAACACAAAAGTCGCACAGATTACTGTGTAACTCAAATTTTGCCAGTAAAACGCGTGAAACATTTGTGAGTTGTAGAGTTAACAGAACTTTAGTAGAGATCTATTAGGGTGATGGAGGTGGAATCGACGATATACTGAAAGATTTTAGACGTCGATAGCGAGGGGACAAAGTAGGGGACAAGCGCATTCGAAATTAACCGGCGCGAGAGTAACAACACCTGCACTGCACTGTCCACAGCTACGAGACTGGCAACGGCATCAAGGCCGACGAATCCGGCAAAGTGAACAACGCCGGCCTGGAGAACGAGGCGATCGCCGTGCAGGGCTCCTACTCCTACATCGGTGACGACGGCCAGACCTACTCCGTGCAATACACCGCCGACGAGAACGGCTTCCAGCCCCAGGTGAGCAGTACCCTCCTTCTGCATACTAGTTGCGCGATCGCGGTGACAGACAGTCACGGAGAAGGTGAAACGCGCCTCCATTTTAAAGTGTTTGCCTGCAAACCAAAGCTTGAACGCGTAAGCGTTGCAGCACTTCGGGATTTCGTGCATATTTTTTTATCCCGTCAAAAGTAAAGCAACAGTCGCGCGTCCGTGATTATGAGATTATTTCTCGGGTTTGTTTTTGTGGGGTAGTCCGCCCGGAGCGTCCGCGGAAAATTAAGACGGTCGGTGGGCGCCTGCCGCTAACACGCTGCACCCCGCTCCGGTGTCACGAGTGAGCATTCCTAATGAACCAGCGCTGACGCCCCCCCCCCCCCACCTTCTCTCGATCTGTGGCAGGCCCGGCCAGGGCCAACCAGCGTGGCACCCACACCCCGTAATGTATACCAGGGGAGCATTACGACCACAGCCTCGTTTGTAAAAGTCCCTCCTCGGCGCTTTACAGGGTCGCAAACGATTTATGTAGAAAAGGCCTTCCAGCAGCACTATTTGAACACGAGCAGCGGGGGAGCGTGTCTGCAAAACGTGTGCCCTCTGTTCACAGGGCGCCCACCTCCCCACCGCACCCCCACTACCTGCCGAGCTCCAGAAGGCCATCGACGAGCACCTCGCCATCCTGGCCACCGCCAAGCCTGCCGAGGAGGAAGCCAGCAGCGTCCCCGACCAGCGGTTCCTCGTCCAGCGCCACTTCTAAGCAAATTATAACAACGGCAACAAAAAAATATTGTGATAATGGTGTGGGTTAAAGGGCAGGGGAGGGGAGGGCCTTAGGGTGAATGACGGGGTGGAGTTGGACTTGACGAGACTGACAGGGTAAAGTGCCATACGAGGGATACCGAACGGTTTACGGGTACCGAAATACGGGTAAGGGCCTCTGTGGTGGGGGCTCATCCTTGGACTAGACTGAAAAAAGGTGAAGAGTGAAAACGCACAGACCTAAACTTTTCATGAACACCTTCAAAGTGCAAAGTAATGTATGTTGACTGACCTAGAAGTGATAATAAAAAAACTATTTGTAAATCCAAATCACCTCTTAAGATTTCTTTCAAGCAGTTTCCTGTCTCCCTCCACTCAGCTCAGCTACGATAACGCCTATGACATAGGCAATATATAATTCCTTGCACGCAAGGAAAAGTGGCGGGTTGCCTATCCGTCCCCTCGCAGGCGCGCGCGCCTGGGAGCTAGGTGACAACATCTGGGCATCGCACCGGGCGCAAGTGGGTTGCGCACCTCACAGGCGCCCTGGTGTCCGACATTTCTTAATACTTAATCCGTGCTTCTGGCAGCGAGCAGAAAAGGATTTTAATATTATGCCCACTAGCATGCCACCAGTTATGGTCTTGCTGAGAGGAGTATCATTCACGCGTATCGGTACAAGCAAATATACTCGAGCCAGGGCAAACGATTCACGTCGTACAAGTATTTATTTATTTTTCCGCAAGACGACTACCTTAACCTACAGCCGCACGGTATCCCCGCCAGTTTCCAACGGCAAGCGTTAACCGCGCACATAAGCAGGTCGTAGGTCAGCAGTAGGGCGATATATCTAAGTCAAGTGATTAGAGTTGGTCTCAATAACATTTTTAAAACATCACTTGTTATAAAGGGCGCTAGAATAACTCATGGGTATTCGTCGTTTTCATTATTAATTTGTATAGTTTTTGGCAACGCACAGTCGCAAATCAGTTGCCCGTAAAGATACGGTTTACCATTTGCTAAATAAAAGTTATCTGCTATCCCTTCTTCCAATGCAGTTTGCCCTCCTACCCACGCGGTTCTGTCACATGTTTCCCTACACAAACCAAGGCAGCAGGACAATTTGCACCGCACTTACCGACGATCGGTTGTTGCCGTTTGTTTTTAGTGATACGGTTGACCTTTCGGCCACCTTCTTCCTCCTCCTCCTGCACCTGCACGCGCTTTTGAGGTGCACCGCTGTCACCCGACCGTCACCCACCCCACCGCCCGACTCCTGCCCGGCACCCGCCCGGCACCTCCACCGTGCAGTTGGCCGGTGGGGGGTGGTTGCCGCACGCACGTAGTGCAATGAGGAATAAAAGATGACGCGGTGCGCGGCGGGCGCCAGTGCATCGCCCGGTGCATCGCGCGCACATTACCGAAAAAACAAATCCACGCGAGTGTTTAAAGTGTGCAAGCCATGCTGTTCGCTCTCATGGCCCTAGTGGTGAGTCACAAAGAGGCGTGCTTAACGTCAAGTGCGACAGTGATCCGGTCGTGCAGCGACACGTTACCGGCGCCGGAGCCGGAGTGAAGAGTCCCGCGATATTTACGCCCCGCCAGCGCCGCTGTGTCACACCAGTGCCGCGCCACACCTGCGCGACAGCGTGTAGGGCCGGAGTGAGACATTTATTAACTCGGCACGTTTAGACCTCGGCGACGACAATTCCGCGGCAAACTCGACAAATTACGCGGTGCAGCTTCTCATGCCTTCGAGACGCAAGGAACGGCCACAAGCGACAAGCCTACACAGTGCACTGCAGACCACATACATTGTTAAAATTTTACGACAAAAAAGCGAACTTTTTACTTTTAAAAAAACTTGTGCACTCTTAGTTCCTTGCGAAGTTTGTCACATACAAAGGATCTGAGACTACCGTATTACAGACGGATTTTCTTCGTATTACATAAAGCACAAGCTTCAGGACAGTTAACAGACGCCTGTTCTTCGTTCTACGAAGCCGAGCTCTTCGTCATGCAAAGGATTTGTTTGTATCACGCGGGTGAAAAATCCTTTGTACGTTACGAAGAACATTTTTTCGTGAGAAATTTACAGTGCTCATGACTTTTATTTTAAAAATGAACAACGATAGCGGACAATGTGACTGTCGGAATAGGAAAGTTTTGAACTCCTTTGAATGTTTTCAGTTTACGAAATAGGTATGGATAATAATACAACTGAGTGTAAAGTGTTCATGCAGTAAGCAACAAGTTACTTCAGAAAATTCATTTTTAACGACGGGCGTGAAATGTTTCTTCGCGGGGAGTGCAAAAGTGATTGTTTTCGCAGGCCCTCCTTGCTGGGGCGGGGGCCGCGCCTCAGCGACCGCAGCAGGCTCAGCAGGCTGCCAAAGACATCCCCATCATCAAGCAGGACTTCACCATCAACGAGGACGGCTCCTATCAGTGGAAGTACGTACCACACAATATATCATTAAAATTACGTCAAACAACTGTAGCAGAGATGAAACAGCGAGGGAGAAGGCCATGTATATTTCTCTACGAGTTACCACTGTTGGTATAGAATGCATGCTGTTTTCTGTCATAAGTTGTACCTTACTACTTCACAAATGTACCCAGAGTAGCCAAGCGCTATACCCCATGCATCATAGACCTTCAATAACCCGTAGTGGTGGCGCGTGGAGTATAGTCGGAGAAACCGAACGAGAATCTGTGACCATTGCACGTGTATCAACGTCATCAGTTCGACAAAACTAGTAACCGCTGGCAAAAAGATCTTATAATAGCAACACTTGTAATCACCGAAGTAGCAGTGCTTTAAAATAAACATTAAAATGTGTCATTTTTATTATATTTAACAGCAAAATGTTATTTAGAGGGTTCTCCTAAAAAAAAATCTTGGGGTCGAGTAAGTGCCATAGAGAAACAAACTCTGCAGTTTTAAGCATATGTGCTTCGAACTTGAAAAGCGAATGTACTTGTGCAGCTACGAGACGGGCAACGGCATCGCTGCAAACGAGCAGGGCTCCGTGAAGAACGCCGGCAACCCGGAGACAGAGGCCATCTCGGTGCAGGGCCAGTTCTCGTACACGGCGGACGACGGCACCCCCATCCAGCTGCAGTACCTGGCCGACGAGAACGGCTTCCAGCCGCAGGGCGCGCACCTGCCCACGCCGCCGCCCATTCCCGAGGCCATCCAGCGCGCCCTCGAGTGGAACGCCGCGCACCCCGAGCAGGACAACGAGGGTGAAGCGCCGGCCGCGCCAGCCAGGCCGGCCGCCAGGGGGCGCAAGTGATACTCAACACTCACAAAAATAAAAAAAAATACGGGTCAGCAAATATAGAATAGAGAAAATGTCGTTTACGATTCATTTCAACTCCTCTCAAACGTCAGCACACACCAATCCAATTACATGCAAAAGTAAACATGAATAAAAAATCTCAATCAAGAATCGATCTTGAATTCAAGATCTGCTTTAAAGCAGCTGATACAAATTTATAAACAGGATAATGTTCTTACTTTTTCTCATTAGCAGCTATTTGTTTTTGGTTCCTTTGCAATCTTGCGATTCGGCGGCCTAGTGGCGTAGAGGAGGACATACGGGGAGGGCAGGGCGACCGACGCGGCGCCGCCGTATTGTTGGGCAGGGAAGGAGCCCATCTTGCGTAGTATTGTTAGGCAGGGCAAAGGAATGAGCCTAGCGCGACACTCACTCGGACACCACTCCCCCAGCGCACAAAAGTAATTTCTGGTTTTGCTCTTAGTTCTCTCCCCTGCTGATCGAGAGTTAAAGCTAGCTGACACCTTAAAGTTACCTATGTATTCTTTATATTTAGTGAAAATATTTAAGGTATCATCTGCTAAAAATTCACACCGTGACTAGAAAGAGAATCTGGGCCAACGGCCTGAATTCTAGAGGCATAGAGGTCGAAAGGGACAAGGAAGCGCCTTCGACTAGAGGGGAGAAGAGGGGCTAGGGGCAGGCGGCGGACAAGCGCAGCAAGGGTCACACATGCATGCATGTATGTGAAACAGACATTTTCACCCGCGGGGTTAGAACGCCATGCAACAGTACTCTGCAAAGTACGCGCACCACACCCAAGATTGGCCATTCTTTAAATTTGGCAGTTATGGAGCAGGGGCGCTGTCGTTCTCTGTCCGACTAAGTCAGTGGCTTTACGCCAAAATGCTTGTGGCCTTGCGTTCGATATTATAACTTTAGATAACTTTGCGCACAATTTCGATACGGCCCTCAGAAGAAGATAATTATTGAAGTTGAAAGTGAAGAGGAGAACGTCTTATAACGGCTGCCCCTTTCCCCAAATGAGCAGGCGGAGCACGCGCCGCGGCGGGCTGGAGGAATCGAAGAGCAAACCAAGCATGTCAAGGCTCGTACGAGCAGAGCCGAGCGGACCCGAGCAGACCCGAGCGCAGCGGCCGAGCCCTCGAGACTCGCGCCGGCGAATTGAAACATTCCGTAGCGCGTAATGGGACGGGTGGATCAGCAGGCCGGCGGGGAGAAGCACGTGGTGGTACATCTATCGGATCAGGGGCTGGAGGGGTAAAAGTAACGTTATTACAATGATGAGAAAATGAAATGAAGCTTGAAATTTGATTTGGCTTGCGTGTCCACGCGGTGACGCCATCCTGGACGGGGACGGTCCAGCCCCGGCCGCTCTTGTTTCATTTCGTGACCCGCAAAGCGAACCCACGCCTTCACCTCGCCACGCCAAGCCACGCCTCGCTACGCCACACCCGCCCAGACTGTCCGTCCAGGGCGGCATTGCGCCAGGAGTTGAAGGGAACAACGACGAAAACTCTCCCCCCTCCCCCTTCTACCATTTGTTACCATGGGATTTTTATGTCGCTATCGTTTGTCGCCATCAGTTAATGTGCGACACATCCTGAATCAGCCCGTGGCCATGAAAAGGCCACACTGTCATCGCCAACACACTGTTACACTGACAATTCAGGTAAAGCACGCCACCAGGCATTGTAAATAGGGCAGAGAGCCGGGTGGGGGGGGGGGGGGATTGTTTTGACTGAACCACTAAACTGCAGGGCAGTCGCAAACCAATTTTCAGAGCCAATAGAGATAGCATAGTTGAAGTAGTCGTCCTCTGGACAATCAATTATAGTATGTATCAAAGTGACTACGTTGTTAGGCTGTTGGGCTTGCTTTGTTACATTCACGACGTTTCTTTTCCGAAACGGTTGGATTCAGTGTTATTTCATCCATTGTTGGTAACGGTATTCTACAAATGTTTATCAATGCAGTAGTCTGAAAAGTTGGCGAGCGGTTCAACTCAGTTCAATTCTCACGAGTTTCCATCATATCTTTCAGGAAGAAAATATGCGGAAAGGAATAGTTATTAACACGACAGCATGACAGCTGGCAGCGCCCTCCGATCCGCTCCGTTTCTGTGGCGCATAGCACGGACCCGACAAATCAACGTTATCCGCGAATAAGGCTAATGACGCCCAGGCCCATCGATAACCGTCCATCCGCCCCGCGCCGTTGCGCCACTCGCCGTCTAAGTGTGGGCGACGGACTGCAGACTTACGGCGGTCCTCTCAACTGCCGTTGGACCTCGCCAAAGTGATGAATCTCAAGTCATCTGTTTGGTCCACCCCACCTTCATTCACGCCGCCCGACACGCGTTTTTAACGCAGCTTTATGTAGGGACAAAAAAAAAACGGTAAGTGTTTGGAGAAACAGGAGGACTTCACCTTTTTGTGGCGGTAGTAAAGACGTGTTGCCGACCTTCCCCGCTCACAGCTCCTCGTCCCCGCCTCTTCACTCATCTCCCCCTTCATCCTCTCCGATCAGCCTCCGAGTGCAATCACCGGGCTATCCATACGGTACCACAGTTTCTTGGAAAGGCTACTCGCCTAAAAATAGTGGCATTCTCGCCAAGGCCTACGGGGAAGAGTGTGGTTCCTAAGGACGTCTTGGCTGTTTTTTATAGGGAGGCGGTGATTCAGCTCCGGTTTTGAAGGGGGTGTCCACTTGCCCACTGACATTAAACATGTGCCCTGTAAAAAGCTTGCGAAGAACTAATCTTTGCATTACAAAGAATTTAGAGGCGTTGTAAAATGCTTTGCATTGCGATCTAAATCCTTCACATTGCGAACTACTACTTCGCAGCTGCTTACGAATAACATTGTTCGTAACGCTGCAATGTTTTAGTTCGTAACCATGCAAACCATATCTTCGCAACTTACGAAGAGTATAGTTTGCAATGCAAAGAAAATAGTTTGCAATGCAAACTTCCTTGAAATGCTTCGAAATTCTTTACAAGCAGTTTGCAGTGTGGTAGATGATTGATTGTGGTTAACCACAATTTGATTGATTACATATCTTTTTACGCCGACGTAAATGGTTCCTCAGTATATCTGAATTCTGCTAAGTGGTTTTAAGAAATGTGTTACAGTGTCGTTATTTAATCTCGTTTTATTCTGAGTGGGGCCTTACGACACAATTATAACCGCACTACAGCCCGCTTGAACATTGCTCGCAAGTAGTGGCTTGCTAACTTTGCACTTTCAAACCGACCCAGAGTAAAACTCTACGATTTGGCCGTTTCCGGGGAGGCCATGCACTTTCAGAGTGAACTTTCACGCGGCAATGACTTTTCTGGCATCCGGCTCGTCGAGACACTTTATCGTTGCTAAGTAAAAAGGCAAGGGCGCCTACCAGCTAGTTACCCGTCCTTCCACCCAGGAGACGAGGATCAAATCAGCCTCGTTACATGTTTAACTATTTGCAGGAATCCGATAGATTCGGCGCAGGGCGCAGACAATTCAACCGACGACCGGAGCGACGCGAAGGTCGAGAATCAGCCTGCCTTTCGCAAGAGAGGTATGAGTGTTTGACGGATCGTGGGAATATTCGCGCTCAACGCCACGCCGTGCCGTGCCACGCCCTTCAGGTCGACCGACGCGGTGCGATACACCCTGCAGATGCACGTTCACTTTCCTGGGCAGAGCTTTGGAAAATAAATAAATCGCACGGTTATTAGCGTCAAGCACAGCGCCTTTACGACGTCGTACTAGCCTGCGTGTGGGCAGCCGCCGACGCGCGGTGTTTATTTGTCAGACCCAGACGGGCGCCTTGCGTCCCAACACAATTCGTCACAGAAAAGTAGCTAGTTCACAAGATGTATTTTTTTTAAATGGAATTAAAAACAAAACAAAAAAGGGCACATCAAACATCGGTCTGCGATGTTAATTTCGCCTCGTGGTACAGCATAACTTAAAACAATGAAAAAATTAGGACGGGACCACGGGACCGCTTGAACACCCTGTGTGGCAGTGACCTGAACCAGCCAGATGAAGGTTGATTGATTTGTTATGTTATTTTTATGAGTTTTTATTTTACCCTCAAATTTGGCAAAAGAAACCCTACCAGGTGGGTTGTCCATACAGTACGTCTGTTTCTTAGATTCATTATGTTAACGACAGGAGCTCAGCGCCTGTGAGACTCAGGGTAGGCCACCCCGCAGTACACGCTTGCACTACAGGCAGGATTTTGCCTACCCATCAGGCGCTCTGAGAGCTTGCATCGGCTGAACTGAACTTGGCATGTTCGAAACGACGAGCACGGCGGGCGTACTTTTTGGATGACTCCTGACCCCACGGCCGTTCGTAGTAAGTGCTGCACAGCACGCATGAGTGCGAGCGGGATTGCATACCGCCCGTGACCATGGAGCCTTTACGGGCCGAGCAAGTAGGCAGGCACCCCCGCGCACAAATACGAGAAAACATAACCACGAACTGAAAACAAAGTGGCGTCCCTTGACGCCAAATTTTGGTGTTTCCTGCGAGAACGACAAACATTGGCGTCTTTGAACGAGTAAATTGGGCATTCTTTTATGGAACTCAATATTTTTGAGTCTTTAGACGCCAATATTTGGTGTCATTGAACACCACTATCTTGGCGTCTAGATATACACCAACCAATTTGCAGTGCAGAAGTGGGCAGGGTGAAATAGCTACCAGGTGCGAATAAAATATGTGAGCGAATACTATAATTCACGTCTAAAATGCCGGGAAGTATACTGTACGCATGGTTCAAACAATGTGAAAGTTTAGTTCAGAATAAAATGAAATTGGCCCCTTTTTAACTTTTTTTGTACAGAAGAGAGCAGGAAGGGGGAAAAATGAAGGAAAGAAAGAAAGAAAGAAAGAAAGAAAGAAAGAAAGAAAGAAAGAGGAATGTGCGGAACGCCTTTCCAGGACTGTACGAAAAGCCCGGCAAGATGCGACCTGCCCGATGGCCGATGCCATAACAGGCCATAACGGGGAAGAACAATGCGACGGGCCCAACCGGGCCCGCCCGGTCGCGTGTGTTTCACAAATCGCTCAGGGTGGGTGGCCCGGAGGCGGCTAGGTTCTGGCCCGGTAGCGGTGGCCTGGCTTCCTGCTGAAGTCCTTCACGGAAAAAAATGATTAGTTGTCAGAGCGAATACTTTGGCTAATTTGGTGACAGCCAAGATATTCGCTGTGACACCTCAGAGTTAGTAGTGAAAGACAGGGGTCAGTTGCCCCGAAAAATTAAACGGATCCGCTGTGGCAACTAACTCTTGCCTCTCACTTCTAATTCTTAGGTGTCACAGCGAATTTCTTGCCTGTCACCATATTAGCCAAAGTATTCGCTCTAACAACCAATCATTTTTTTCCGTGTTCAGGCGTCCTTCTGGTGTCCTGTTGGTGTCCTACTAGTGTCCTTCTGTTGACCTGCTGGTGGCCTACTGGCCGGCTGGCCCCGCTGTCCGGTTGTACATCACTATACATGCGAGGGCGTCCCCTGTTGCCTCCAGTAGATGAGCGGTTAATTTTGGAGTTGCCAAGGGACGGGTTGGTCAATACCTGCCGAAGTTTTTGGCGGCCAAGACAATCCTGCCCTGACATATGTAATAGCATCTACCGATAGACAACATGGGGAGGAATAAAAGTGGGAAAGAATGGTAGAATAGACAGAGGGTGGGAAAGGAGGGTACACGGAGCGGAGAGGGCGTTATAGCAATTTAAGCAGCTTTAAGATGAACCTGAACATTCTTCAATCACAGCTAAAGGGCTGCGTGCACTGTCACAGAAGACCTTGGTAGTTCTTCCCCGAAGGTTCTCGCCGCTCCGCTGTCCTTGGGGATAATTACATAAACTGGAACACGGCATACACTGCGTGAGCGGCACGAAGTTGTTCCTCTTCCCCTAAAACTTAAGCAGTGAAGGTTGTGGCCAGAGTATAGTAGATAACCTGAACCATTCTCTCATGTCAGCCTGTGTTCATGTAACAGACACACCATCACACACACACACACACACACACACACACACACACACACACACAAACACAGGCGCGCACCACATACACAGCACTGTTTCATTTCTATTCTCTATTACGCCGACTGCAGTGAGGTGGCGAGAAAAGGGATGGACTTACACGTCAGTCACTCCTATGTGCAATGTCGTTGGGGATCGGAGAAGGAGGGGGGATGGGACAGCTCCTTCCACATCACAGATGTGAGCGAGCTACTTCAGCAAATAGCAAATTCAATGACGCCCATACTCTTTACAAACCACTTGGTCTGGGTATGGCTTGGGTGGTTTTGAATAACAGTATGACGACGTGCCAACATTTCATTTCAAAGTTACTGAGCACAGATATTTTAGTGTTTCTCATATAAAGGTGCAAACCATCACACACAATTTTGAAGTGGGCGATATAATTAAATGTTCCTCCTTGACTTCCCAAAGCGAGGCCAGACCAGAGGAATGCCCTGTCAATATTTCTTCTTTTTTCCTCATCTCCTTCATACAGACTGCGCTGTTACTCTGGTCAGCGACCAAGGCCGTTGAAATGAAACCAGTCTATGAGGAAGACTTTTTCCGCATAACTGAAGAGCTGACCTATGAGTTTTGCTGGTTTTGTCTGTCAGCCCTTAAAAAAACGTGGCATGAAGTCCGGTAAAATTATACATTTATAGCCTTTGACTTGCATAGAAAAGAAAAAAATTCCTTTTTCAGTACAAACTCAGCACAAAGTTAGCTAAGACAAAGAGCGGCAGGTATAAAAGGTTACTGAACACACGACGGTTCCTCCATTCGGATTCAATACCTCTGAATGGTAGAATATGCATTATTTTAAATGACCATAGCCCTTGGAAATCGGAGGTTTTGCCTACATTGTAAAAGCGTATTATAGTCAACGTTTTGTCAACAATGTTTTGGCTTTACAAAAACAAATTATGTTGAAAGCACATCACAAATGAAATTTGTCTCCACAAAAAAATGGGAAAATTGAAATATTGTCGCTTTTTATTATACTTGAAAATTAAAAAAAACAAAATATGCAGCAAGCCTAGTCACAAGTGTCGCCCAAATTCATCCGCGTGTAAACGCTTATTTCAGCTTTCACCATCTCAAACGAAGGCGAAACCGACTGCTCGATCGCGTTGTCTGGTTCCCCCTGAAAGTGAAGGTGCTTTTGTCCGGCAGTGATCTGGGATGCACCATGGGGCAGCGGAGGGAGCACCGCGGCGTCCTGCACCTTCCCCCTCTCCTCTCCTCACCTCTCCTCCCCTTGTCCGGGTCGGCCGCGTCGGTCGGGGTGGGGTGCCGACGGAGAGCCGCCTCCACGCCGCCGCAGCCCCAACGCACCGCGAGCGCGAGAGAGAGGGAGAACATCGCGAGACGAAAGAAAAGCACGGCGGGAGGCGGGGGGGAGTGGCCCGCACTACTTCCACGGGAGAGGGGCGGCCGCACCAAATTAGTCTGTATATAAGACGGCGCATGGCCGCCACGACGAGTACTGTCCGTTTGTGAGCGTCAAAAGATGATGATGGTGAGTGCGCAGTGTGAACCGGCCGCGACCCTAACTGGATTACCCTCGGATATGTAACGCATGCGGTGAGAGTGTTTGTCTGTGGTGGTGTGTTGTGTGTGTGCTTCAGGGTGGGTGTTGCAAGGTAAGGACGACTTGGCATCGGTTGTGGTTTGGATGCCCTATTTTTAACGCACCAAAGTGGACTCATTGCTGTCTGTAAAGAACTGAAGTGAGGTCTCTGTTTTTCTTTTTTGCGATCGCGGAAGGCTGGTGCAGGGTGGTAGCTTCCTGGTCTGGAATAGATGAACCATCGGCCTCTTAGTCTTAAAAATACTAATTTGTCAAAAAAATGCGTGCCATTAATGCTTGTATCACGGTTAAAATACCCCACTTCATTCAACTCATTGCGATCTATATAGTGACAGAAAGAAACGGTTATCCATCTTCAATTTTTTGTAACCTTAAGAGTTTTCTATATTGCCTGCTACATGGCGTAACAACAACTGAATAATCTACAGCTCCTACAGCTTAATTAAAAACGATTTAAAGTGGAAAATCTGAATTCTTCATTAAATTGATCCATTTGTAGAAATGTTTTGTCAAGCATCTTTAACATGAGAGGGATTTTTACCACTAGAAAACATAACCGTGACTGGAATGCATGCATGATGGGGCATAACGGAAGAAAATGAACATGGAACCAAAGAACCATTAAGTACATGATACCAAATCAGGCCAACAGGACGTAAAATTTACATTCTGAAACCGATCTGAATTTGGTAGCCTTTTTATGAAACTGATATGGTTGAAGCAATTAAAAGTCAGTTATTCTGAAAGAATTATCATAACCGCGCGGATAAATTTCGTTTAAGAGGACTAAAATTTAATCGGTTCTGAATTTGGTTTCTTCGATTTAAGTTTTTCTTCGTGTAATACCATTTACTAAACTAAGTAAAATTACTGATTTTTCATGCTCTACATCGTGTACTTTGTCTTTGAATTTGCAAACAACTTGCTTCAGGCTGACTCATTATATACGCAACACCCCCCCCCCCCCCCTTTACGTCTCCCTTTTTTATAGGCCTCTCTCTTTGACTCAGCAAATCGTGACATCTTTTTCCTGCCCCTCACAACCGTCCGCGCGTCGCGATGGAGGCATCAAACTGAGTGACACAGGAGTGGCGGGGAGGCGGGAAAAAACGAGAGACTTGAACGCACGCGCTACAACCAGGCGCGGAGCACAACGTGTCGAAATGGTGACAGTGTTAATAACTATCAAGTAGAGGCGACACTACAACATGTGTGGGATCGCTTTCCCAGAGTAGCCTTGGGAATCCATCGAGCATGCGATCGCCATTTTTAAGTGAAAACTAGTTGAATCAGCTAAACGTTATGATAGGCACAACGAAAAGGGTGAACTTTCCCAATCGCAGAGTGCCGCGTGTACTCGCGCAGCGTGGATTGCATTTTTCGAGCAGCATAACAAGGTCGATCGCATCACCTATTGCCGTGGAGGGATCCTCCAAGCTCCTCGCCTCCTCCGCGTCGGGGGCAGGGATCCAATCGATAGCATCGCGCCATCGATCGATCCGATCGAACAGAATCACGAAGCGGGATTAGCAGAGCTATATCAATTACTAGCCTTTCTTTGCCCCGCCGAGCTCAACTTCGACCTTTCCCGCGCCCCGCCCCAGACACTCTCGGGCATTGCTTCATAAGGGTACTGCCACTTACACTGCTCGTCAAGATATTACAGCGAGGGCCATCTTGTCAGCGCGGAACTCACGTGAGTGCATCGTAATATTCCGAACTTAATTGAGTTAGGTAGGAGTGCGACATAACTTTACTACGAAGATGTCATGGCTCGTTCGCGGAGAGCTTTGCTCTAAGTCAGTGAATTTTTCTCGGAATTTTTGTCGTTAAAAAAATATCGAAATGTTACCTTAGGGCAGATATGTGGGTCAGGGCGGGATGTGGGCGTGGCGAGGTGGTGCACTGGAGCCGGGCCGCGGGCCGCAGGTCATCATCTCGGCCATCTTATCTGCACGCCGAGCACAAAGGGTCACCAAACCCGTTTGCGTTGGTGTTGGCGGCGGCTGGAGCAAAAAAAAGAGCGTACACGGTCAATATAATATATGTTATTGAAAGAGAAATCAAGAGCAATAAATAATTGAAAATTCAGACAGTTCAAAAAATCAAAGTACGGTAGAATCTCGTTCTTAAATTTCTACAAGGTCCTCAGTTTCTTCATCCGCGGCAAATATATGGAGCATAAATCACGTAGTCGCCGAGCTGGTCATTGCTCATCTCAATGCCCTGTTGAAACAGTAGTTTCGTGATAGAAAACCCTGACAAACTATTGTGGTCGTTTAGGCATTGGGCCTTTTACGTTCAAAACTTGCAACACGACATCAGTTAGTAATAGGAGGAAGCGTAAGGGTGGTGGCGTCCTGAATTGACCTCGCCAAAGTTCGCAATCACGACCTCATGTTCCGATACAAACCGATAGGGATCAGTGTGACAGGTGCCGGCGCCCAGCCCAGCCCGTCGGGCCGGCCGATCATCTTAGGCAGACTTGGGTAACAGCTTCACCTCCGGGCAGAGCAGCCGGGCCGTGCGCCCCAGTCAGCAGCGCCCAGCAGCGCCGCCCCGCGTGGCGAAACTAGCCCGAGCCGAGAAGAGCCGAGCCGCGCCCCGTTTTGAATCCGACACTCATTTGCCCTTTGGAGCCAACACAAAATGTTCATGTTTACTGGCGGGGCCCGCGAGACGCCTAGTACCGAGTCATACCCTGCATAAAGAGCGAGAGAGATAAAGAGGGAGGGGAGGGGGTAATAACATGGCTTCATCGGGTTTTACGGACTGCGATGATGCGCTGACCCTGTCCCCATATGGGGTCGATCCGGTGCTGCACAAGCAGGGGACGCGTTAACGATATTCCGAGCAGGTAGCACAGTCGCAGGAGCGTTATGATGTCGCAGAGGAGAGGGGAGGAGAGGGGAGGTCCAACGGCGTCGCTAATTGCAGCACTGCCCCCTGAATGAATGAATGGATACACACACACACACACACACACACACACACACACACACACAGTGTAGCGCCCTCTAGCGCGAGGTTTTCCAGCTATTTCAGTCGGCCGCCGCCGCGGGTGAGTCACGATTCCGGTCCGTAACGTGATCCTGGTGATGGCGAGGGCCATCCTGATTGGCTCGTCGTGTCGTGCACGCGCAACCAATTGGGTCGGCAGGGACAGCTAACTGAACAGCATGTGGAGCGAACGCAGTCACGAGTGGCCGGATTGTAGGGGCGCGCGTCCCGACGTGTTGCCAGGATCCGTACAGTGATAGCAACCGATCAAGTGTACCAATCGGTTTCAATTAAAATTCGATATTAATTTCAGTACTTGTTTTAAAAGGCGCACATTATGTTCCCCATTGTGTAGAATTTTACCGCTCCAACAAGGCAAAACATTAAAAGAATGAGTATTTTTTATTTCTTTTCAAATTTTATAGGAACCACTTAAACGAGGCATTGTATTGGTTTGAATAAGATCAGGAAAGATATGCTAGAACATCACAAGCCTTGTTTTCAGTAGTTGGCTGCTTTTAAATAATCTTTCCAGACGATTTCTGAAAAACAATTGAAGGCTTGTGATTTTCTGGCATGTTCTTATCGTGGTCTTCTTTAAATTGTCTCATTAAAAAATAGATTGTAAATATAAATTACGGGGCCACTTTACGGCGAACTTTCCTAGGTGAATACAACATATCGGTCAACTTTTTAACGTTCGCCAATCAAGTGTCGGATTCGCATAGGAATTTCAGGTAAAATCACGCATGTCTCTCATGCGAATTTTCATGACAAGCCCGTTCTATATCACGGAACCACTCTTTTCTGGTAAAGGCGTGCCTCGCTCCGAACCGTATAGTCTCCCCGCGACCAACAATAAGCAGAATAAGATGGTAGGTGGTCACAAGGGCGCGGCGCGTTTTTCGCACAGACCGCTGTATTTTTTACCCACAGCAACAGCAGCAGCAGCAGTAGCAGCGGACTGCGCCGGACGGTAAAGGGGACCATTAGCACACGCGGCCACCGCAAAGGTCTCTCTCTCCTCCTCCGCCACCTCCGACCGTCAAGGTCGGAAGAGAGGGGTGGGGGGGACAGGGGGAGAAGTTGCAGTTTAGATTTCGGCCCACGCTGTAGGACAATGAATTCAGTCCCACCCCCACCACGGCCAGTCTCGTTCGACCCTAGCGACTGGCCGCCCCGCCCCGCCCCCGCCGGAGAGTGTGGCCTGCACTCGAGCACCCCGGGGGCGGCGATAGATCAGAGACACGGCTACTGCCGCTCGCTGCAGTCCGTTCCGTCACGCCCTTGAACTTTGTAGCTCATATACAATATATTCTCCCAGCGTCACGCGCAGCTCATCATAGGAAGCGACAGGGAGGGCAGGGCAGCGTCGCGCCAGCTCACTGTCAGCCTCACCGTTACCGGCTCCCGCCTGTGGCGCTCTTGACCCGCTTGGCCCACACCTGGGCGTCGTTCATTAGCTTTAGCTAGCTACCCTCCCCCCCTTCTCTCTCTCTCTCTCTCTCTCTCTCTCTCTCTCTCTCTCTGTGTGTGTGTGTGTGTGTTGTCACGGGGTATGACATCCTGTCTTGCAAGACTTAAATGCGAACAAAGTGAAATTTACGATGAGTGAGTGAGTGAGTGAGTGAGTGAGTGAGTGAGTGAGTGAGTGAGAGAGAGGATTCGCCTTCTCCACCCCTGTGGATGCGGGTTTGTACAACATTTCAAGTCGTTTGGTGTAATAAATTGCAAACAAAATCCTAGTCCCCGCCTAGCAGCCCCCTTCCCCTCTTCTTCTCGGTCTGCGGCTTACGGGCGCGCGCACCCGCGCACACACACACACACACCTGTCTGATCCACAGGCAGCGCGTCGAGCACGTGTCTGCGATCCCGTTTTACTCCGCCGATACGCTACAGGTTCGCACGGGTAATTTCCCTCGGGCCGCCTGGTGCCGCCGGTATACGCATGCCCGGCCGGCGGCGGGGCGGGCCACGCTCCCCGTCTTACACGCCCCTCCTCCTCCTCCCCCTTCCCGCGTCGATTCCTCTCACCTCGAACACGGCGGCGAGTCGGTGTCGTGGGAACCCCTGCGCTGCGCGCGTGTCTCGGGAGGGGGAAGCGGGGGGAGGGGAAGGGCGACGCGGGGAGGGCGTTCGCTTTTCATGAAAATTGTGTTATTGCGCTGCCGAAAGCGCAGCGGCGGCAGCCGCGGCGGCGGTCCGCCAGTGCCACGCGGTGTATCGGGGGCACATCGCGTGCAGCAGCGCGCCCTAATGGTCTTGTCAGCTTCTTGCACGCTTTATTTTCGCACTACAATGGTACGGCACAGTGTTAGGTATCGGTTTCGGCCCTAACGAGCTCTGGCTGGTGGTCAGATCCCTGTGGTGCTGCTGGTCGACCCACACTCACACCGGTCTCTTTCTTGTCTTTGTCTTACAGCAGCTGGTCGTCCTGTCGGCGCTGGTGGCCGTGGCCCTGGCGGCCCCGCAGCAGCAGTCCTACACCACCCCCATCCCCATCATCAGGCTGCAGAATGACGCCAGCCCCGACGGCACCTACCAGTTCAGGTGAGAAAAGCAGCAACAGATGTGCCCATTTACAAGGCATGTTCAATAACTCTGAAATTACACGACCCTACTTCCCTGAAACTTTGAACTCAATGTGTGAAGTGTCCAGTTTCACTGGACAGGCAAATGCAACATGTTCAAGCCATGATCATGACTCCTGTAACAGTTCACAGAGTTTCGTTGCTTTATTTCCTCTTATTGCACAAGCCGGACTCTCTCATTAAGACGAGTGCGTCAAGGGAGCTCTCAGCCGGGCCAGGCTGGGCCTGGGCCTCATGGCAGCCCAGCTCAGCCTCTCCCAGCCCAGCCTCTCCCAGTCGCATTCGAGTTATAAGCTGGAGGAAGGAAGGGAGAAAAGGGAAAGAGTAACAGACTTTGTGCCTCCCTTTGTGCAGCTACGAGACGGGCAACGGCATCGTGGCCCAGGAGCAGGGTCAGCTCAAGAACGTGGGCACGCAGGACGAGGCCAACTCAGTGGTGGGCTCCTTCTCGTACACCGGCCCCGACAGCGTCCAGTACTCGGTGCAGTACACGGCCGACGACAACGGCTTCCTGGCGCAGGGCGTGCACCTGCCCACCCCGCCGCCCATCCCCGCCGAGCTGGCCAAGGCCCTGGAGGCGGCCGCGCGCCTGCCCGACCCCAACGACGGCGGCCAGTACCAGCCGAACCTGTACGGCAACAACGGCCGCTGAGCGACGCTAGGCGCCGCCAGGCGACGGGCCGGGCCTGCGCGCGGACGCGTACAAGTGCTAGCTTCCGGACGCAGGCCCCCTCCCCACAACCCACCCCTGCTCGGGGCCGCGCCCGACAAACCAAGAAAGAAACCATCTCGTCGTACACGCCATCATCATCGCCATGGCCCTTGCCATCCATCATTTCGGTGCGATCTTTCCTGATAAGCCGTCGGTAAAGTCGCAAAGGGCTGTCGTTCATGCGAAATACTGTGAAAGATAATTGTTCATGCAAATGCCTGATTTCATTCTAATTTGAAAATATGTACAATTTTTTTTCACGACATATGAAATACGTGTGCGCGTCATGCCAATAACTAGGCGAAATTGCGACGTGTCTGGTTGTCAGGCGTGGTCTCAGCCGCCCCACCTCTCCCTGTAAATACAACCCGTCTCACAAAACATTCGTTTAAATCCTTAACGTTTGCCACCCCTACCCCTGGTTCTCAAACTCACAATCTTACATTCACGCACACAAACATACACGCCAAGCACCCACACACACACCCACACACACACACACACACACACAGAGGCACTACCCACGCAATGACCGCGTGCGCAGCTAGGAAGTCTGCACCGCTGCAACCTTACATATTTTCATGCCGTGTTACTTTCCTATCGAGCAGAGAAAAGGTCGGCGCCTGCCATTTTCACAGAGCAGGGGCGGCCGATGATAAAACAATTCTCCCATGGAGCAGCAGCAGAGCGGGCGCAAGCGGGCGGGGCGCACCGGGGCGCACCGAGTACCAAGACCAAACGATGCGAAGGAATCGCCCACAAAAGTGACTCTTCCGCAGACGAGAGGGCCGAAGAAGGGCAATTCCAGCAACTAAAAAACAACACAAATGAAATAAAGATGATTCTGCGTGTTTCACTTGACAAACTCGAGGGAAGGCCAGGCCAAGCTCATTAGTGAAGGACTTCCGTATTCACACTGATCTGATGGGTTCAGTTCCTCTTGCTCGAAGGAACCCACCATTTATAACACTCCTGGTTCAGGAGGAAGTGGTGGCCGATTTAAAAGCTGTACAATCAGCTATTGGTGGATGACTTCAGGGGAACAAACAGTTATGATGTCCACGCACACCTCGTTTTGCTAGACTGCCAAAAATATCACTTTCATGTCAATGCATGAGTAGTAAGAAGTAAATCAAGGTCTTATTTTTTGAACACCGCAAAAACTTTTGCTTCAAGTAACAGGGAATTGTGAAGCGCTTGCGCTTCATACCACAAGCCACGCACGCCCTGGCCGCGCCCTGAATGGTAACGCGAGGTACATCCCGAGCCACCTTCATTAGTCACCGGCCAGGTCCATACATCTCTCCTGATTCCGTCCCATTGCGCCAGGGAGAGGAAAAGAGAGAAAAGGAGTGAGAGAGGGAAGAGAGAAGAGAGGGGTGGGAGGAAAGGTGGGAG